CTGAGATTTGGTGACATCGTACCAAACGAGAGGGTCTGGAGCAGGGTTCTTCAATTCCGGTCCTGGAGGGCCGGAACACCTCTGTTTTTTATTTCTACCTGGTAGTTAATTGCACTCACCTGGTGTCCCAGGTCTGAATTAGCCCCTGATTAGAAGGAGAGGATGAAAAACAGAGGTGTTTCGGCCCTCCAGGACCGGAATTGAAGAACCCTGGTCTGGAGGTTGAATCCTCAGCTCCTCACAGAACCAACATTCTGTGAACATCTTAAAGACAAAATTACATTTTTCTTTGATACCAACGACAACACAGAGACTTCCCCAGCATTATTGTGGGAAACGCTGAAGGCTTATTTGAGAGGCTGTATCATCTCCTTTCAGACTGCCAGGAGTAGGCAAAACAGAAATAAATTGGTAGAACTGGAGGGACAAATTCACTTACTGGATAGGGAGAATGCTAGACATCAATCTATGGAGAAACATAAAAAAATTATGTCTTTAAAATTTAAATACAATCAGATCCTCTCGGCTAAAATTGCTAAATCTTTTCTCTATGCCAAGCAAAAATATTTTGAGTTTGGTGACAAACCACACAAATTACTCGCCAGACAACTTCGAAAAAACGTGAGTGACCAAATGATTCACAAAGTTAAATCTGCATCTGGGGAATTACTCTCCTCCCCCAAAGACATCAATGACAGATTCCGTCAGTTTTATGAGACTCTATATACATCTAAAGCGGATCCTAATCCCTTAATTATGCAAAACTTTTTGGAGGACTGTAATCTTCCTGCCCTGAACCAGGAAGACTCTAACTTCCTGAATAAGGAAATATCTCTTGAAGAAATTAGAGAAACAATTAAATCTCTAAAGAGTGGCAAGACCCTGGGCACAGATGGATACCCTGGTGAATTCTATAAAACATTCAGCAACATGCTATCTCCCTACCTGCATAAAATGTTGGTTCGGGCCAATGAGGATGGAGCTCTCCCATCTACTTTGGATGAGGCGTTTATTACAGTTATACATAAGAAGGGTAAAGATCCGGAAGAGGTAGGGTCATACAGACCAATATCCCTCCTTAATACAGACCAAAAGATTTTAGCAAAAACTCTGGCTAACAGGCTTAGCACTTTAATTGGCAAATTGGTCCATTCGGACCAGACTGGCTTTATCCCTAATAGAAACTCATTCTTCAATCTCAGGCGCCTCTTCAACATTATGTATTCTCAGAGGTTACCTAACGTGGACCTTGCCGTTATATCTCTTGACGCCGAAAAGGCCTTTGACCAAGTTGAGTGGCCCTATCTATTCAAGGTCCTACAGAAATTTTATATTGGAGATGGGTTCATAAATTGGATCCAGCTTTTATATAGGAACCCCTGTGCGAGAATACTCACTAACCAATCAATGTCGCCCCGATTTAACCTTCACAGAGGGACAAGGCAGGGTTGTGCGCTGTCGCCTATGCTCTTCGCCCTAATTATTGAACCTCTCGCTCAAGCGATCAGATCTCATTCAGCAATACACGGCTATAATACTAAAGATACTCTAAATAAGATTTCCCTATACGCAGATGATATTCTCCTCTATGTAACAGAACCCCAAGCTAGTATTCCAGCTATTCTTGAGGTGATTAATTTGTTTGGTACCTTCTCGGGATACAGAATAAATTGGAACAAGAGTGAATTAATGCCCATACGGTTGCAAAACACCTCCTGGCTAGAACATCTTCCAGTTAAGTTATCTTCAGAAAAATGTATCTACCTTGGAATTGTAGTTACCAAACAATACTCCTTACTATTTAAAGAGAATTTCCCTTCTCTGATGCAAAATCTCAAGGCAAACATACAGTTTTGGAGAACTCTCCCAATTTCTCTGCTCGGAAGAATTAATGCCATTAAAATGGTCTTCCTCCCACAACTGCTCTACCTATACCAGAACATCCCAGTATTCATACCTAAATCATTTCATAAACAACTGGACTCTATTATCAATCCTTTCATCTGGGATTATAAAACACATAGGATAGGTAAAAAACACCTATGTAAATCCAAGATGGAAGGAGGATTGTCTCTCCCAAATTTTATATTTTACTATTGGGCCGCTAACTTCCGCGCTGTTACGTTTTTGCTGGATGACGCAACCCCACCATCCAGCTGGCTTAGCATGGAGCGGGAGGAGTGTCACCCCTTCTCTATTGGTGCCGTGATTTTGTCACCTGTCAATCTGGAGATGTCACTTTACCATAACAATCCTATTATACATAGCACAGTCCGAATCTGGAAGCAAATTAAAGTCCACTTTGAGCTTAGACCAATATCATTCATGCTCCCTGTTGCCAGGAATCCCTCCTTTGCCCCCTCTAACCTTGTTAACACCTTTGAGCGATGGGGAGAGTTGGGGATAAGTACCATAGGGGATTTATATATAGGAGGGACCTTTGCTTCCTTTGAAGCGCTGAGGGAAACTTATAACCTTCCCAGAAGTAACTTTTTCAGATACCTACAAATTAGAGACTATGTTAGAAAACACCTCCCAACATTTGAGAATGCTAAACCTTCCATGTTTGACGGATGCATAAAAATATGCCCCACCTCAGACAAACTGATATCTCGTCTATATGACGCTTTTCAATCTGTTAGCGCACCCTCTACAGATGCCATTAAGGCAAAATGGGAGGAAGAACTAGGGACTGATATTTCGGTGGCAGACTGGGAGGATAGCTTGGAGTATATCCACACCTGCTCCATTAACTCCAGACATCGTCTCATACAATTTAAGGTATTACACAGATTACACTATTCCAAAACTAAACTGCATAGGATATTTCCTGATACATCCCCTATGTGTGATAAATGTCAGGCTGAGCAGGGTACACTACTCCACTGCTTTGCCCTATGCTCTAGTCTGTATGGTTATTGGTGTGGAATATTTGGGGTCCTCTCTGAAGTTCTGGAGTCTTCAATAGACCCAGACCCGCTTCTGATAATCCTGGGAGTGTCCGATTCCCTAAACGGATTAACCAACTCCCAAAAACAACTAATCTCTTACAGTCTCATTTCGGCAAAAAAATTAATCTTGTTGTTTTGGAAAAGGAGGGAAGCGCCCTCTACCAAATTATGGCTCAGCGAATTGGCAAAAACTGTACACTTAGAAAGAATTAGATATATTCTGAACAATAAATTATCAACATTTGATCAAATCTGGCAGCCTTTCCTCTCTTACCTGGACCAGTCGGTGCTGTGAATTTGTACTTTTTAACGCACTCTCAATTGTCATATTGTAATCTACCTTTGGGCAGCGTGTGCTGGCCCCGACACTCGAGCAGTCGGGAGGGGAATAGGGTGGAATAAGGGGGGGGGATAAAGGGGGGTATAAGTGGGGGGGTTACATCTACCCTTTTTCTTTCTACCTGTCCCTGTTCTGTATGTCGTGTTTTGTAATATTTGTTTTGTGTCCAGAACTCTGGGTCTTGTTGTTCATGTCTGTTCTCTTATGTTTAGATAAGAACTGTACATGTCTTTCATACCTATACACCATTCTTGTGTGTGTTCAATAAAAAATATTTGAACAGAATACAGTATATACATATGAGATGAGTAGAGCAAAAATATGTAAACATTATTAAAGTGACTAGTGTTTCAAGTCTATATATATAGGGCAGCAGCCTCTAAGGTGCAGGGTTGCGTAACCGGGTGGAAGCCAGCTAGTGATGGCTATTTAACAGTCTGATGGCCTTGAGATAGAAGCTGTTTTTCAGTCTCTCGGTCCCAGCTTTGATGCACCTGTACTGACTTCGCCTTTTGGATGATAGTGGGGGGAACAGGCCGTGGCTCGGGTGGTTGTTGTCCTTGATTATCTTTTTGGCCTTCCTGTGACATCGTGTGCTGTAGGTGTCCTGGAGGGCAGGCAGTTTGCCCCCGGTGATGCGTTGGGTGGACTGCACCACACTCTGGAGAGCCCTGCGGTTGCGGGCGGTGCAGTTGCCGTACCAGGTGGTGATACAGCCCGACAGGATGCTCTCAATTGTGCATCTGTAAAGGTTTGTGAGGGTTTTAGGTGCCAAGCCAAATTTCTTCAGCCTCCTGAGGTTGAAGAGGCTGAAGAAAGGCGCTGTTGTGCTTATGTAATGCATGTATTATGAACTATGCCATTATGCCATTCTATTCCTGGGTTTACCACAGCCTACAAAGTCAAGTCACACATACTTTACAAACATGTTTAATATTAGATCGAAACAATACAGAAAATAATTTTCAAGACTATCTACTATCAACATCCGGAGTGTTTTCTCTTACTATACTTTAGGGGTAGGCTGCTGGCCGAATTTTGTCGGAGTGGATGGTAGGGGGACCGTAACATAATTATAATAATTTGTACACTGCAAATTGACCACAACCAAAAATAGATTGTATTTGAAAATAACAATAATTTCATGCCTTGATTACATTGAGACATGATCACATATCTCTTTTTTTATTTGTGGGAATACTTGGTGAACAGATTTAGTAAATTAAACTAATTTGTAGCTGATTTAATTTATAGGTACAACATATTTAAATTAAATAAACATACATTTAACTCACACATGAAACAATTCTAATAGTATAAAAAAAACGAATTTGTTAGCATAAACGTTTGTAATTTCTCCCTAGGAACCACTTTGTGCCTGCCTAATTTGCAATACAGAAATCATCCCGTCGGTTCCTCCTGTCAACTAAGGCAGAAACTGTCACATACAGAATATGGAGATGAGAGGCTACATATCTACATTACATACCATTATACGCAACGTGTCTCTTCCATCTGTTGAACGACCAATAGGTCCCTCAGTTCAGTACGTGGTTATGTATCTCCACTCCACATAGTTAATCTGGTAGTAGATATTACACAGTTGTGTCTGTTGCGGCCTTCAGTCCTGCCTTTCCTGTATCACAATCCAGCTGTGATTGGGAGTCCCATAGGGCGGCGCACAATTGGCCCAGCGTCATCCGGGTTTGGCCGGGGTAGGCCGTCATTGTAAAAATAATTACAAAAAATAACAATAAGAGGACATTGCGACTAGTGCCATAGATAAAGATCTGCACATATGACTCAATATATAGAATCTCTATTAGACCCTTCTTTGCCACATATATTGTCATTGCTTCGGCTCTTGTGGTTCCTATGGTTACGGAGGTATATGTAGATGAACTGGAAACAGACTAAACTCAGTTTGTTTGTTGGTTAGGTGGTGGTGTTCAGAAATGGTCCACTCTCGCCATTTTCTCCAGCTGTTCCTCAGAGATTGTCTCTGGGGGGGATATTGTGTCTTCTACCGCAACATTTTCTAGCTCCTCATAGGTGTGGGATTCGTACGGGGTGATGGGGGTGGTGTCTAGGTTGGGGCTCTTCTCCTGGTCTTCGTAGCTGATGTTGTCATAGATGTGCATGGCGTTGCTACTCAGCTCCAGCTCCTGGGCCTTGGCCTGCTGTATCCGTAGCAACACTGCTTTATTCACTCCAGGACCTGAGAGACACACAGGATTGGGAAAAAGGTATTAGTCCAAAAAAGTCTGAGTGAAAACCTTAATATAGTGACTAATCTGTTGGTTGACACGCACACACGCGCGCACACACACACACACTCTCTCACCAAAGTAGCTGAGCAGCACGGGTAGGAATATAAGACCGTGGGCCATGCCCAGCAGAGTGATAACCAGGTTTAAACGGAAGAAGAAGATCTGGATGAGCTGGGCTTTGGCAAATGCCAACACCACTATTCCAGGCAGGTTCGTCATGGCAACGCCAGCAAACACCTGTAGAACCACACAGGGACAAACATACATTCAGTATAACAAATAGTCCATTAAGTGTCCACATATATCTATGTGATTATAACATGGTTATATATCTAATGGCTGTATAGTGATTGAATGGTCTGGCACTTGAACTCACCGCACTGCCCATAGTAGCAGTAGCCTCCTTGGCTCTCTCTACATGTGTAGGCTGGATGCTCATGGCAAAGGAACGTGTCATGTGAGATACAAACTCCACAGAGATACCAACCGCCTGCAGACCAGAGAGAGAGAAGGGGAAGGGTTAGTGTGTAAAACGCATGTTTGCTTATGTCAAGTGCCGCTTGGGTGGGGACATTTGCTTCCTTTGTCTTTGAGCTTATAGCCCATTTCAGGATATAAAAATAGGGGACACTATCTATAGCACGTGTACAAACAGGTTAAGATGTATGAGGTTTCAAACTGGTGCTGAAGGTGAGACACATTGCAAGAAGTTTCACCCACACCAACACAAGTAGTGCTATGGTTCCATACCGTGACCAGGTTGATAAGAGCCACGGCGTTGTAGTCGATGCCCCACAGTGTCATGACGCCCACGGTATCCACGGTGATCATGATGATGGTGAGGAGGTTGAGAGCGCCGGAGCGCAGGTCCATGCCCAGCAACAGACAGCACACCACGAAGGTTGGTAGTAGGCACAGGGAGATGTTAAACAGTCCCTCAGACACGATGGTCAGGTACTGCTCATAGAACACATAGGTCACCCTGGAAAGGAGAGGAGGAGGATAGTCTGATTAACTGATGCTTAGCACAGCATCTCCCAGAGGGGAAAGGAGGAAGAGGTGTATGTGTAAGGAAAGACGTGAGAAGAGGAGAAAATGAAGAGAAGAATGGAGGAGGACGCTGAGCTAACATACGTGTAGGGGAAGACCTCAAAGTCTGGTGATGTGCCAGGTATGGCTCTCATGCTGAGGGTGATGTTGTGGGCCAGCTCTCTGGCTATCTTTAGCGCTGCAGTGAACTCCTTGGAGGTGGTCAGGGCTGTGTGGTACGCCATGAACCTGGTGGCTAACAACCCAGAGACACAGGTCACCTTCAACTTCAGCAGCTTTATTTTCTGTGTATTCAGTGCATTCGGAAATTATTCAGACCCCTTGACTTTTTTCTTATTCTAAAATGGATTAAATAGTTTTCTACACACAATAGCCCATAATGAAAAAGTAAAAACAGGTTGTTCGAAATTTTTGCAAAAAAATACATACAAATAAAATGGAAATATCACATTTACATAAGTATTCAGAACCTTTACTCAGTACTTTGTTGAAGCACCTATGGCAGCGATTACAGCCTCAACTCTTCTTGGGTATGACGCTACAAGCTTGGCACACCTGTATTTGGGGAGTTTCTCCTATTCTTCTCTGCAGATCCTCTCAAGCTCTGTCAGGTTGGATGGGGAGCGTCACTGCACAACTATTTTCAGGTCTCTCCAGAGATGTTCGATTGGGCTCAAGTCTGGGCTCCGGCTGGGCCACTGAAGGACATTCAAAGACTTGTAACGAAGCCACTGCTATGTTGTCTTGGCTGTGTGCTTAGGGTCGTTGTCCTTTTGGAAGGTTGACCTTCGCCCCAGTCTGAGGTCCTGAGCACTCTGGAGCAGGTTTTCATCAAGGATCTCTCTGTACTATGCTCCATCCATCTCTCCCTTGATCCTGACTAGTCTCCCAGTCCCTAACACTGAAAAACAGCCCCACAGAATGATGCTGCCACCACCATGCTTCACCGTAGGGATGGTGCCAGGTTTCCTCCAGACGTGACGCTTGGCATTCTGGCCAAAGAGTTCAATCTTGGTTTCATCAGACTAGAGAATCGTGTTTCTCATGGTCTGAGAGTCCTTTAGGTGCCTTTTGGCAAACTCCATGCAGGCTGTCATGTGTCTTTTACTGAGAGTAGCTTCCATCTGGCCACTCTACCATAAAGGCCTGCTTGGTGGAGTGTTGCCGAGATGGTTATCCTTTTGGAAGGTTCTCCCATCTCCACAGAGGAACTCTGGAGCTCTGTCAGAGTGACCGTCGGGTTTTTGGTCACCTCCCTGACCAAGGCCCTTCTCCCCCGATTGCTCAGTTTGGCCGGGCGGCCAGCTCTAGGAAGAGTCTTGGTGGTTCCAAACTTCTTCCATTTAAGAATGATGGAGGCCCCTGTGTTCTTGGGGACCTTCAATGCTGCAGAAAGTTTTTGGTTCCCTTCCCCAACTCTGTGCCTTGACACAATCCTGTCTCGGAGCTCTACGAACAATTCCTTCCACCTCATGGCTTGGTTTTTGCTCTGACATGCACTGTCAACTGTGGGACCTATATAGACAGGTGTGTGCCTTTCCAAATCATGTCCAATCAAGTGAATTTACCACAGATGATCAATGGAAAAAGGATGCACCTGAGCTCAAATTCGAGTCTCATAGCAAAGGGTCTGAATACTTATGTAAATAAGGTATCTGTTAAAAAAAGAAAACTGTTTTCGCTTCGTCATTATGGGGTATTGTGTGTAGATTAATTGAATTTTCGAATAAGGCTGTAACGTACCAAAATGTAGAAAAGGTTAAGGGGTCTGAATACTTTCCGAATGCACCGTATGTGTGGGGTACAGAGATGAGGTAGTCATTCAAAAATCATGTTAAACACTATTATTGCACACAGCGTGAGTCCACACAAAGTATTATGTGACATGTTAAGCACATTTGTATTCCTGAACTTATTTTGGCTTGCCAAAACAAAGGGGTTGATTACTTGACAAGACATTTCAGCTTTTCATTTAATTAATTTGTAAACATTTAGAAAAACATAACTCCACTGACATTCTGTGTGTAGGCCAGTGACAATCTCAATTTAATCAATTTGAATCCAAAAATTTATAAAAAAGCTATTTTCACTTTGTCATTATGGGTCATTGTGTGTAGATTGATGAGGAAAAATCATAATTAAATAATTTTAGAATAAGGCTGTAATGTAACAACATGTGGAAAAAGGGAGGCGGTCTGAATACTTTCCAAATACACTGTAGGTTAAAACATGATTTCGTTTTTGTTTGTTTTTTAAAGATAATATCCAGTATTCCTCACCTATAATTTCTCCACTCTCATCTCTGATCACAGCCTTGTCATAGGCTCCTAGACCTCTGTTAGGAAGAGAAACAGACCATTACACACACGCATGTGTGTGCGTGCATGTGTACGAACGTGTGTGTGTGTGTGTGTGACGCTCACCCCTTAGGGCACTGCAGGTCGGGCTTATTGCCTAGGAAGTCTGGTAGGAAGCGGTTGAATTGCTCCATGCTGGGCCTCAATACTCCGTTTTCGGGAATTTTCATACACTTCTGTAGACACATTAAGGTCGCTACGCACACAACACATTATACATCAGGTTAGAAACTACACAATGTTTCTTTATGTTTTGTTAATGCATAACGAACAAAGAGGATAACGTTGTTTGTTTTTATTTCAGGTTGTCTGGTTGTCTGAGGTACTTGGTACTCACGTTCGCTCGCAGGACAGAATTTCCCTCTGTTAGGACCGGCTGTATAGAGCCGGCAACACTTGGATCCAGGGTTTAGCCAGTCAATGAAGTCGTCCATCCACGAGTTTGCTGGGATAGCCATGTAAGATCTGTTAATCATATCAATGAGTTGAGACTCATTAAAACAAGCACCATTTTGTATCAGAAAGTACCCATCATTCTGACATCGTTACAAACTTCCCCCTTCTTTTATTTCACTTTTATTCACGTTCACACAAAACCCCTAGAGTCAGCCAAGCTTTGGCCTTGGAATATTACATTTTACATTTACAATATCAGCTGCTGATATGGCAGATCGAAAGTAAAGGTGCATTAATGAGGTGGTGATACCAGCAGCCCTGAGACCTTATCTCCACGCTAGAGAGGACAGAAGTATGGTGCTTCCTGACCACAAATGCTATTTTAACCACTAACCCTAACCTTAACCCTTACCCCTAACATTAACATTAATCCTAACCCCAGACTAAGAATAAATAGTTTGCTCATCAGATTTTATGATATCGGCCTTTTTATCCTCTCGAATATGGTCATCTAGTCCCTGATCTATTCTTGGATGTGTTTTATATAACTGGGTTGATCATTAAGTGTTGTGATTGGCTGTGTGTCAGGTTGCTGTGTGGATATCAGTAAGTTCAAGGTTGGGTGTAGTGGGGAAAAGGGTGAGGAAGGAGTCAGAGAGACAGACTGGAAACAGAACAACAACACCGTTAGAAGGAAGTAGTGTTTGAATATACACTGAGTGTACAAAACATTAAGAACACCTCCCTAATCTTAAGTTGCACCCCCCCTTTTGCCCTCAGAACAGCCTCAATTCGTCGGGGCATGGACTCTACAAGGTGTCGAAAGCGTTCCATAGGGATGCTAGCCCATGTTGACTTCAAGGCTTCCCACAGTTGTGTCAAGTTGGCTGGATGTCCTTTGCACTCTTAGAAAAAAAGAGTTCCAAAAGGGTTCTTCAGCTGTCCCCATAGGACAACCCTTTTTGGTTCCAGGTAGAAGTTTTTTGGGTTCCATGTAGAACCCTCTGGGGAAAATGTTCTAAATTGAACCCAATAGGGTTCTACCTAGAACCAAAAAGGGTTCTTCAAAGGGTTTTCCTATGGAGACAGCAGAAGAACCCTTTTAGGTTTTAGATAGTACTTTTTATTCTAAGAGTGTGGGTGGTGAACCATTCTTGATACATACGGGAAACGGTTGAGCGTAAAAATCCAGCAGCATTGCAGTTCTTGACACAAACCGGTGCGCCTGGCACCTACTACCATGCCCCATTCAAAGGCACTTCAATATTTTGTCTTGCCCATTCACCCTCTGAATGGCACACATACACAATCCATGTCTCAATTGTCTCAAGGCTTAAAAATAATTTTTTACCTGTCTCCTCCCCTTCATCTACACTGATTGAAGTGGATTTAACAAGTGACATCAATAAGGGATTGTAGCTTTCACCTGGATTCAGCCGGTCAGTCTATGTCATGGAAAGAGCATGTGTTCTTAATGTTTTGAACACTCAGTGTATACAAGCCAATTTACCCCCGCCCAATATAAAGTGCTTTGAGACCAGGTGAAAATAACTAGCTTTATAAATGTAATTGTTATTATTATTATTATTATCCTACATTCAATCCAAATTCAAATGACTACTCACAGGTCGGGGTATTCAGTGGCGTACTGGATCTTCTGAGTGAGAGAGAAGGGGTCACAGCCCACACTGGAGCAGGTTGCATTCATACCCATTATCTTGGTGAAGTCAAAGCCCTTTGTCGTGACAAAATAGGTTGGGACGCCCACCTCAAAGTATGCATACAGGTACTTGAAATACTCCAACATGTAGGAACCCTGAGACAGAGGATGAGAGGAGAAGGTGTCAAGTGGTCAGTACAAGGACACAAATGTACTGTTATTTATGGTGTTTCTTTATGTTGTTCATACTGTATGTTGTTATTCATGAATGAACGAACGAATGAATGAATAAAGTGTCATGGGAGATGCATTCAAGCAGTAGTCCAGGTGTCACTCACCTGGGGCATAGCCAGCTCCTGATCCAGGCCTACTGTCACATAGAACATCAGGTAGATGGAGGAGATGAACATAAAGATGAACACAACCATCTGGCAGAGGGAGAGAGGAGGAGGACTTCAACCACAACCATAACCACAACCAGCCAACTGAGCTAACTAGAGGGAACATCAATGTATAAAAGTAAAAAGGCAATAGTTTGTTTACCACTATGACCCTGGTGACGGGGTGGAGGAGGACGGGGGCATAGTATTTCCTCATGACGGGCAGAAGGAAACCCTCGTTGGGTTTGGACGGGGCCGGGGTCTTGACGGTGACGCAGCAGGCTAGCTCGCAGCGGTTCCCATCCTGCCGTCTGGCGTCCAGGGACAGCAATGCCACGAAGGCCGTCATCTGCAGCACAAAGTCCATGAGTACAGCCAGGGCAGCGTACAGAGCAAAGGACTTGACAGCAGGCATGGTGCTCAGAGCGCCTGGGAGACAGAGGTGAGGAACAGGAGGAGTTAGTCATTAACTGTCACGGATTCAGCCGAGGCTGCCCCTCCTCCTTGCTCGGGCAGGCTTCGGCGTTCGTCGTCACCGGAGTACTAGCTGCTACTGATCTATGTTTCTGTGTTCTACTTGTTTTGTCTTCATTGTACACACCTGGTTCCCATTATGTCTATGATTTGTTCCCTATTTAACCCTCTGGCTCCCACTGCGTTGTGTGCGTGTTTGTTCTATGTTTGGTATTATCGACTGGTGAGCGGGATTGTCCTCCCTGCGTGGAGTTTCTGTTCATTTATATTTACGAGTAAAGTACATTGTCTACTAGCTCTGTGTCCTGCGCCTGACTCCGTCCTACCACTACACACTGACGCCTGACAGAAACACGCACCTCAAATGGAGTCAGCAGGTACATTAATTCCTTCCGGATCAGTGGAGGAACGCGTCCAACAGCAGGGGACCATGTCTCGGCACAGCAATGGAGCGCGTGTTGAACACCATGGAGCGATGGGAGAGAGGGGGTTTTCCTACACCTCCTTCAACTACACAGCAACCAACACCACTGTCCACCCCTTCATCACCTGGGTCCAGTGGGATTCGGCTCTCGCTCCGAGGGCATATGCTGGTACAGCTGCCGGGTGCCAGGGTTTTCTGCTCCAGGTAGAGCTCTACCTGGCGACCATCCACCCGGCTCCCTCGGGATACGAGAGCGTGTCCGCCCTCATCTCCTGTCTGTCGGGGAGAGTGCTCAAGTGGGCCATCGGTGCGCTATGAAGATTTCACCCGCCGCTTCCGGGCGGTATTCGATCATCCTCCAGAGGGGAGAGCGGCGGGGGAACGTCTGTTCCACCTCAGACAGGGGAAGAGTAGCGCTCAGGACTTCGCACTGGACTTCAGGACCCTGGCAGCCAGAGCGGGATGGAATGAGAGGGCCCTGATTGACCACTACCGATGCAGCCTATGGGAGGACGTTTGTCGGGAGCTGGCCTGCAGGGACACCACCCTTAACCTGGACCAGCTGGTGGATTTGTCGATAAGGCTGGATAACCTGTTGGCCATCCGCGGACATTCGGATCGGGATCCGTCCATTCCATCCCCCAGCACCTCCAACCCTACACCGAAGGAGCTTGGAGGTACTGCTCTTAGGGAGACCGGTAGAGGGTTGTCCCCTGCACCAACTGTGGCCGCAGAGGACACACTGCTGGTCGGTGCTGGGGAGGGTCCTCAGGGAGTCGAGGCAGCAGGCAGAGCACTGGTGGACCGTCCCAGGTGAGTAGGCACCTGACTCACCCAGAGCTCCCTGTTGCGCACATGTGTATTGACATTGAATTTCCTGAGTTTTCCCCGCATTCCCAGCATAAGGCGCTCGTCGATTCAGGCGCAGCTGGGAACTTTATTGATCGTATGTTTTCCCGTAGATTAGGGATTCCTATTGTTCCTGTTGATGTGCCCTTCCCTGTTCATGCCTTAGATAGTCACCCTTTAGGGTCAGGCCTGATTAGGGAGGTCACAGCTCCACTCTGGATGAAAACGCAGGAGGGTCATGAGGAGAGAATTAGTCTCTTTCTGATCGATTCTCCTGCGTTTCCAGCGGTGTTAGGGCTTCCCTGGTTGACCTCTCATGACCCCACGATTTCATGGCAACAGAGGGCTCTCAAGGGATGGTCACGTCAGTGCTCGGGGTGGTGTGTAGGTGTTTCCATAGGTGCAACTACGGTGGAAAGTCCAAACCAGGTCTCCTATGCACATTCCCCCCGAATATGCCGATTTGGCTCTCGCCTTCTGTAAAAAGAAGGCGACTCAATTACCACCCCATCAACAGGGGGATTGTGCGATAAACCTCCAGGTAGGCACTTCCCCGGAGTCACGTGTATCCTCTGTCACAGGAAGAGACGGCTGCTATGGAAACATATGTCTCCGAATCTCTGGGACAGGGATACATTCGGCCTTCCACTTCACCTGCCTCCTCAAGTTAATTTTTTGTGAAGAAGAAGGATGGAGGTTTATGCCCGTGCATTGACTACCGTGGTCTCAATCAGATCACTGTGAAGTACAGTTACCCACTGCCTCTCGTTGCTAGTGTGACGGAGTCATTGCACGGGGCGCGCTTCTTCACCAAATTGGATCTCAGGAGCGCGTACAACCTGGTGCGTATCCGGGAGGGGGATGAGTGGAAGATGGCATTTAGTACCACATCTGGGCACTATGAGTACCTTGTCATGCCGTACGGGTTGATGAATGCTCCATCAGTCTTCCAATCCTTTGTTGATTAGATTTTTAGGGACCTGCACGGACAGGGTGTATATAGATGACATTCTCATATACTCCGCTACACGAGCCGAGAATGTATCCCTGGTGCGCAAGGTGCTTGGTCGACTGTTGGAGCATGACCTGTACGTCAAGGCGGAGAAATGTCTGTTCTTTCAAAAGTCTGTCTCCTTCCTAGGGCACCACCTGTCTGCGTCAGGGGTGGAGATGCGTAATTGGCCGACTCCAACCACGGTTAAGGAGGTGCAGCAATTCTTAGGGTTTGCCAACTACTACCGGAGGTTTATCCGGGGCTTTGGTCAGGTAGCAGCTCACATTACCTCCTTGCTGAAGGGGGGACCGGTTTGACTGCAGTGGTCAGCTGAGGTGGACAGGGCTTTTGGTCACCTGAAGGACCTGTTTACCTCGGCTCCTGTGCTGGCTCATCCGGATCCCTCCTCACAGTAGAGGTGGACGCGTCCGAGGCTGGGATAGGAGCTGTACTGTCTCAGTGCTCGGGTACGCCACCAAAGCTCCGCTCCTGTGCTTTCTTTTCGAAGAAGCTCAGCCCGGCGGAGCGCAACTATGATGTGGGGGACCAGGAGCTGTTAGCTGTTGTTAAGGCTCTGAAAGCGTGGAGGCATTGGCTTGAGGGGGCTAAACACCCTTTCCTCATTTTGACTGACCACTGCAATCTGGAGTACATTCGGGCGGCGTGGAGACTGAACCCTCGCCAGGCAAGGTGGGCCATGTCACCCTTTCTTACAGACCAGGTTCCCAGAACGCTAAGGCAGACGCTCTGTCCCGGCTGTATGACACAGAGGAGAGGTCCATGGAGCCCACTCCCATACTTCCGGCTTCGTGTCTGGTGGCACTGGTGGTGTGGGAGGTTGACAAGGACATCGAGTGGGCGTTACGTACGGAGCCCACTCCCCCCCAGTGTCCAGAGGGTCGTATGTACGTTTCGTTAGATGTCCGCGATCGATTGATCTATTGGGCTCACACGTCACCCTCCTCTGGTCATCCTGGGATCGGTCGGACAGTGCACTGTCTTAGTGGGAAGTACAGGTGGCCCACTTAAGCTATGGACGTGAGGGTTTATGTTTCCTCCTGCTCGGTGTGCGCCCAGTGTAAGGCACCTAGACACCTGCCCAGAGGGAAATTACAACCCCTACCCGTTCCACAACAGCCGTGGTCCCACCTATCGGTGTATTTCGTTACGGACCTTCCCTCATCACAAGGGAACACCACGATCCTAGTCGTTGTGGATCGGTTTTCTAAGTCCTGCCGTCTCATTCCTGTGCCCGGTCTCCCTACGGCCCTACAGACTGCGGAGGCCCTATTTACACACGTCTTCCGGCACTACGGGGTACCTGAGGATATAGTGTCTGATCGGAGTTCCCAGTTCACCTCAAGGGTCTGGAGGGCGTTCATGGAATGTCTGGGGATCTCGGTCAGCCTGACCTCAGGGTTTCACCCCGAGAGTAATGGGCAGGTGGAGAGAGTAAAGCAGGATGTGGGTAGGTTTCTGCGGTCCTATTGCCAGGACCGGCCGGGGGAGTGGTCCGTTTTCATCCCCTGGGCAGAGATGGCCCAAAACTCTCTCCGCCACTCCTCTACTGACCTGTCTCCATTTCAGTGTGTATTAGGTTATCAGCCGGTCCTGGCACCATGGCATCAGAGCCAGATCGAGGCACCTGCGGTGGATGAATGGTTTAAAGTCCTGAGGAGATTGAACGAGGTTTGTTATAGGTTACAGCTTCCTCCTGATTATCGTATTAACCCCTCGTTCCATGTGTCTCTCCTCAGGCCGGAAGTAGCTGGTCCACTCCAGGAGTCTGAGGTACGGGAGGTTCCTCCGCCCCCACTGGACATCGAGGGGGCACCGGCATACTCTGTCCATTCCATCCTGGATCCGAGGCGTCGGGTGGGGGGCCTGCAGTATCTCGTGGAGTGGGAGGGGTACGGCCTGGAGGAACGGTGTTGGGTCCCTAGGAGGGACATCCTCGATCCCTCCATGTTGAGGGATTTCCACTGGAGTCATCTGACTCGCCCTGCGCCGCGTCCTCCTGGCCGTCCCCGAGGCCGGTGTCAGCGCACGGCTGGGGCCGCGCGTTAAGGGGGGGGGGTGCTGTCACGGATTCAGCCGAGGCTGCCCCTCCTCTTTGCTCGGGCAGGCTTCGGCATTCGTCGTCACCGGAGTACTAGCTGCTACCAATCTATGTTTCTGTGTTCTACTTGTTTTGTCTTCATTGTACACACCTGGTTCCCATTATGTCTATGATTTGTTCCCTATTTAACCCTCTGGCTCCCACTGCGTTGTGTGCGTGTTTGTTCTATGTTTGGTATTATCGACTGGTGAGCGGGATTGTCCTCCCTGCGTGGAGTTTTTGTTCATATATATTTACGAGTAAAGTACGTTGTCTACTAGCTCTGTGTCCTGCGCCTGACTCCGTCCTACCGCTACACACTAACATTAACATACAGTATGTAAGCCCCCTTCACAGACGCCATGTGTATTGAATTGAGTAAATGGATGGAATGTAGGCTACAGCCTGGGATCTATAGACCACTATTGTCATTGCCATTGACAGTGACTTGTGATAGAATGCACTGTTGCTAACCTTGTACCCAGGCTCCTTGCTAGCACATAGGTTTGACAGAGAGATTTGGCTGGTGGACGAGACTACTTATTTGCACACCTGATTAATTACTGCAGGTTCAGAGGAGTCAATAAGAAAAGTAACATCTCTCTGACAAGAAATACCGGTGTATTTTCTGTGTGTTCTGTTTCTATGTTCTAGAGAAAGGCTTTACACTTTCTTTTTTTTCTGTTAGAACAGCCTCTCTTGTATTATTAATAATTGATTTAGTATTTACACTGTTCCAAATTGTCAGAGAAATAATATTTATAATAATAATGCTTGTTTAATAATAAGTAAAATGGTCATATCATTAGTAGGCTAGTATAGCAGCCTGTATAACACCCATCGAGCTGTAGGGCCTAAGACACATCCATGTTTTAGTCTTAAATCCGTAACCTTACTTGGGTTCTTAATACCATCAACTTACTTAGGCCTACATTTAAATACTTCTATAGGCTACTGTATCGTTCATTTGTTCATGTCAGCATACAAGTCATTCATGACTTTGAATTGCAATCAAGCATTTTAGTTTAAAAATAAAGCCAGCCTTAAATAATTAGTTCCATTTCAGAAATTGCATTAATGAATGAATTCGGCTGTTTTTAGTCTTTACTGTAATAAATTCCCCTGTAGCTCAGTTGGTAGAACATGGCGCTTGCAACGCCAGGGTTGTGGGTTCGTTTCCCACAGGGGGCCAGTATGAAAATGTATGCACTCACTAACTGTAAGTCGCTCTGGATAAGAGTGTCTGCTACATGACTAAAATGTCAAATGCACCAATGGGAGCTCACCCAGGAAGAAGCAGACAGACTCGGAGAGAGAGCACAAGAGCATGCTGGGAGCTACATTTCCAAGGACACGTCCGATCTGCTCCTCCTTCTTCTCGTCTGGCCTCCGTGCGTCCCTCTGAGGGAGAGAGTTTTACTGTTACTAGAGAGAGAGAATACTACCACCTAATGAAGAACATTATGAGTGAACCGATTGAACTAATGATCGTTGAGGAATACAGTCAGGTATCAGGCTACTGTTCAATAGTCTAGCAGCCACACACACACACACTCACCAAAGTAGCTGAGCAGTACAGGTAGGAATATGATACCGTGGGCCATGCCCAGCAGAGTGATAACCAGGTTTAAACACACACACCTGGTACTCCAGGACGAAGATAAAGATGTTGTCAGCTCCTACGGCCAGCACCAGGAAGGGAACCACCTGGAGGACGACCAGAGAAGAGGGGATACCGATCCAGGCGTAGAAACCCATGGAGGCCAGGACAGAGCAGCCCACCACCAGGATACCACCCAGACCCACTAGGAACTTCGAGTCCACCTGTAGGGACACCACAGAGGTCAGGGGCAGTTCCTGTTTACTACAGTTTCCTGTATGGCATAGGAATACCTTCTAGTCCACCCTAGTCATATACAGTACAGTGTTTCATCTATTTTACAAACTAGCATTACAGTTTTTAACATTACGGAACATTCCATTTTTGTTCCATCTAGCCCTCCAAAAGGCTAAATCATCCATTTTAGAGAATATGACTGTCTGCATCTAGACATGCTGTTTCTATACAGTCGTTTCCTAATTTCTTTCCTTGTATAATACTAAGGATAAGCACTATCTTATTGATTTTACTTTCTGCTTAGGGCCAAGTGTTTTCTGTGTGTGTGTGTGTGTGTGTAGCTAAAGTGCTAAAATGGCAGCAGTTGAAATTCAAATTGGCATTGCCACATTGTATTTCAGTGAGTGGTCTCACCAGTATTCGACTGAAGGAGGTGTACTCCCCCAGAGCCACAGCGATGTACACAAAGATGACAGCATAGCTGATCATGAAGATGGGGATGTCCTCCGCTGTCGTCCTGTTGATCTCATCCTCCAGAGACCTCTACAGAGAGAGAAATAGAGGGGTTCATAGAAGGAGTGAGAGATGGGAGAGAGAAGAGCAGTGACAGAGAAGGATATAAAGAAGAGAGAGAGAGGGGAGAGAGAGAGGTAGTTATAGACTAATAAAGCAATGTATTACAATATTATGACCATGTACCGTAATGTCTTCCAGGTAAATAGCAGGTAAGAAGTAGACTGTCTGTATGGGAGCTATCCCTGTCTGTGTGCGTACGTACGTACCTCAGCCATGTATGCAAAGGTGAATGGGTTGCCTGGACTCTTCTGGTACTCTTGGACAATGTCCAGGAACCTCTGCTCCCACTCCAGGGCCACCTTGAACTTAACGTTGTCTCGTGGGTAGTTATTGAGGGAGAATGTCAGGATGAGCGCTTCTGCTGTAGTGTAGCCCTCATCTGAGAGAGGGAGATAACGAAAGCTGGGTTAATACACAGGATTCATCTAATATATAATAATAAATGCCATTTAGCAGATGATTTTATCCAAAGCGACTCATGCGTGCATACATTTTATATATGGTTGGTCCTGAGAATTGAACCCACTATACTGGCGTTGCAAGCGCCAAAGCTGCGCTATGCTCTACCAACTGAGCTACAGACAACCACTAATCATCTATTCTATGAAGTGTCATCAAGCTATTAGATTAGTGTTTGTGTCTGTTCTGGGGGATTGGTAGCAGAGCAAAAAAAAGAATGCCATCTATGGATTACTAAAGTATTATTACAAAAGAAAACGACATGAAGACTTACTCTCATATCCTCCCACTGCGAGGAAGGGGAAGACTGGTGCTCCATAATCAGCCATGCAGCTCAACTGCAGGTCAGTGATGTCTTTGAACGACAGGGGAGAGCTGCATGGAATGGAGTATACAAGATCATGTTTAATTTAACTGCCTTACTGTCAATGATAAAACATATTTGAACAATGATAATGAATATTTAAAAACAGCTCTAGAATCTGATTGTGTTTTCACTGATAGAAAGGGAGGGACATCACAAATCAGACTTACTTGACGCAGTAGATAAAGTGGTCTCTCCAGTCCACCTCCTTGGTCACTCCCAGCTCCGTCATGTTGACTTTAGCGTTGAGGTTGTCCACACTGTTCTGAAAGTACTGGGGCAGGCTGTTGACAGCACAGTCGGTCAGGGAGGGGTTGGAGGGGTTGAGAGGCGCGAAGCACACATCCTTCAGACTTGCCGTACGGTTCAGATCATTCGACCAGAACTCAATGTTCTGCAGATAGTGTTGGAACAATAATGGAGTTTAGTATTGCAATACTTTAGTGATTTCTGATTTTCACAATCGTTGCAAATAAATGCAATATGTCAATAATCACATGTTCTCTATGCATGTTAATTGGTAGAACTACTACTAACACAATTTTCATGATATTTCGGGAATACCAATTATAGTGCCACTGACTACCCTACCTGAATCTTTTTCTGCAGCTCCAGAAGTTCCAGGATCAGATCTTTGGCAATGATTCCACTGAAGTTCTGCTTTCCGAACAGCAACGAGTCGTAGAAGTGACCAGGTCGGCCCGGCGCTGTCAGGATCAGCTGGTTGGTTCTAAAGAATGGGTCGAAGTACTTGTCGTGGAAGTCCTTCTCCATACGGGCGCGGCTGTTTGGGGCGGACCACAACTGGACCGGGTCGGTGGTCAGTTCGATGTGCATGAGTCCCGTGGCGAAGGCCGCTATGACCACAGCCGACGCTAGCAGCACCTTGAGGGGGTGTGAGGCGATGAGGGTGCCCCATGCCTGGAACGCAGAGCCCAGGAACTCTTGAGTAGCCAGGCTGTTCTTGTCTGTACACGTCACCTCCCACGGTTCAATCAGCCTCTCAGTCACGTTGTTCCCATTCTTATCCATCCCTTTCCCCTTTCCTTTCCCTTTCTCAGAGTCCTTGCCCTCCTCCTTCCTCAGGAGGTAGGTGGAGAGCACAAAAAGCAGGAAAGCTAGAATGAGAACACAGAGGACGATCACACACAGCACCAGGTAGCCGTCCATCCCCCCGATGGTGAAGGGTCCTGCGGGGGGTTGGGGAGAGGGCATGACCGGGCACGAGGCCTGGCAGTCCTGGCAGGAGCAAACCTCTGCCCCTGTTGGGGTCATCTCGTTACACCCCAGCGCCCTTCCAGCGTAAGGCACTACCCCGTCGGGTATCCCCTCGGTGACCCCTTCTGGAATCAGCCTGAAGTCGATGTCCAGTGGGGCCAGGCCATTACTGGAGTCTCCCTGGAAGTCGTACCAGCGCTGAGCCGTACACAGTGCTGAGCCGTATCGTCCACACATGGTAGCGATGGCATACCCCCCCGTGGCGGGAATCCTCACGTTCTTGCAGGAATCAAAGGATTTGTCGGCAAACGAGGTGGACAAGTAGGCCTGGTAACCCACCACAGCCTCTTTGACTATCCCCAAGCTGGTGACGTTCACGTCAATGGTGCGTGTCACGTTAACGGTTGTGGACTGGTCAGGGCTGCAGGTGTTGATGCAGTGGAGGTGGGCAAAGTTGTCAGCACAGGAGGGGCAGCGGATGAGCACTGCCTTGGACAGCATCAGGCTCGTCTCCAGGGACTTGAGCTGCTTTATAGAGCAGCAGGCGGTGGTGCTGCCCTCTCCATGGTCCAGCATGGGGCACACCTAAAATAAAAAAACTGTATGGTCATTTACCTGAAAGGTAAGGTTATCTCTCTCTCTCTCTATCTCTCTCTCTCTCTCTCTCTCTCTCTCTCTCCTCTCCCTCCTCCCTCTCTCGCTCTCTCTCTCTCTCTCTCTCGCTTCTTCTCTCTCTCTCTCTCCTCTTCTCTCTCTCTCTCCTCTCTCTCTCTCTCTCTCTCTCTCTCTCTCTCCTCTCTCTCTCTCTCTCTCTCTCTCTCTCTCAGAATCACCCAGAGAGTTACTGGGCTAGAACCACTGACCTTTTTGAGTTGTCGGTAGTGCTCCCCCTCGAGGGTTCGAGCACGGCTGTAGTTGAGGCAGGGGATTATGGGGGGTATGAGGGATCCCTCCACTGTTGGGTTTTTACCACACTCATCGTAGAAGGCACAGTATCCTGGCTCATGACGGGCCTCTGAGACAACCTGGGGGAGACATACAGTTGTAGGATCTTAATTTGATCACTATTTTGTTGCTGAGAATTGTCCTGCACAGCAGGAAATGCACACTTGTCATTACCACTTTGACTTGATTTACCCTAACAAAAAATGTATCAATCACTACAAAAATTTCCATTAATTCACATTTCCTGTTGCAACAGGATTATTTCCTGCTGGAGCAAACTGGCTCAAATTAAGATCCTATATCTGTAGACAGACTGAGTTAGTGAATGGACAGAGTTAGTAAGGCTGAGGGGAGATATTGGTTGTGTAACCATAATACACATTTTCACTTTTTTATCCTTCTGGTTGGGATACTCTTCTACGTTACACTATCTATTTTTCAACTGATAAACAGTTCCGGCCTACAAATATTCTGTATTCGCCTTCCTGAAACGTCTTATCAATGAGATTATATGGATACAATATAATCGGCCATGTCAGGTTGTTTTTTACATTGCTTTTTGCTGTTTGGTCATAATGACAATAAAAGGGTGGAGATAGTTAATTACTCTGTTCAAGGCTTAATCACCAGCACAGATAGTGTTAGTATGTACAGGAATAGAGAGATTAGTGACAGTTTTCAACATAAGGAAACAAAATGGCAGATCAGCTTACTGTTTCTAAGTACCTGACTGTTTCTGCATTCAACATGGCTAAATCACTGACAAGTTAGCTTAAACATTTGGATTATATTTTTGCCTTGTTTAGTAAAATGACAATAAATTGGTAGTGAAAGAATATCTTCACTCCCTCAATTAGTCCATTCATTTGCATCAATACAGTCAAGTGCCAGGCATCTCTGTTGTAGATATCCTAAAACAACACATTAGACAACACTTGAAAATAATCATAAAAATAGAGGAAGCGTTCATGGACCATGACCAGAAGATAAACTTGACGGTCGCCCCTTGGTGAAAAAGTATAAAACTACAGTCCCTCTATTTTATAATGAATTGTATAATATGTAAATACAACAAAACATTCATTCAAATAAACACATCCCAGTAGATATTACAATTACACTTTCCTTTAAGTCTATTATTATGTTCAAAGAAATGTAGTCTAATTCAAGTACTGGATTCTTAGTTATTGTGATTCTGTTAGTGTTGAATGGCAACGTAGACACTTGCAAGTTGTTTAACTACCACACCCTGTAACACCAGTGGTGGAAATGGAATTGCCATCAACAACAAAATGCCTCCTGGGACCCAGTTCCAGGGGGTTCCATCATCACCACTGGATAACAGCCATCAGGGAGAAACAGAAGGACTTACCAGACAAGCCAGGAGTGTGAGCATGGCAGTGGCACGGCTCATAGTGGGTCTGCCCATGCTGCTATTCCACAGCACCTCACAGCTAAGAAAGAGCCTGGAAGCCCAGGTACAATAGGACGGAGTGTCGGTTTAGTTGCCGTCGTACTATGGCAGGTCTCCCCTTTGAAAAGAGAGTTTTAATCTCAATTAGATCACTTGAATAAATAACAAAAGGCTAAATAGAAAATAATTTAGAACATTTGTCCTGTGAAGGGGTGAGATAGTGAGAGAGGCCTCTATGTGTTAGTCCTTCTCTCTCTCTTTCTCTGTCTGCCTGTCTGTCTCTCTGTCTTTCAGTCCCAGGTGTGAGAGCCAAGGGGTAGGAACAGGCGAAGACATCAGCCCCATGACTAGAATCAGTGGTGTCACCTGTTTTATCTGGCCTGATGCAGCGAATGCCAATCAGAACAAGCAAAGAGACATTAATCTGATTGATCATTAACCAGGGAGGGTGAGGATGGTGGAATGTTGCCTGGGAGACACAGAGAAGCTGGGAAAGCAAAAACAAAGGATAATTAAAAGAACAGACATAACGCCACCGCCCTCTACGACCCACGGCACCCCTGCCCTTATCCCCTTACCCCTATTCCAGCTTTACCCCATTCATTCAAGGTTTGGTTCACTTGTATTTGTGTCAATGAACAAGTAGGAAGCGAGAAAGACAGAGAAATAGAAACAGAGAAAGAGAAAGTGGGTGGTGGGTGGTGGAAAGGAGTTACAAGAGAGGAAGAGTGAAAAGTTAGAAAAGAGAGGGGTGGTGAGAGTGGGAGAGAGATAGAGTTTCTGTAATTCACAGGCTGAAGTCCATCCCATGAGCATGGGTGTTTGTGTAACTGAATGTAAATACTTCTGGATCAATGGGAGCTTCTATTCCAGAGCACTTTATGACCTACAGTACAACAGGCGGTATCAGAGATTAGTTTAGAGTTGTGTTTGGGTCCCTCTGATATCACACAGTAAGAATCCATTTAGGCTGATTACCCACTGTGTACAGACATCAATTCAACGTCTATTCCACGTTGGTTCAACATAATTTCATTGAAATGACGTGGAAACAACATTGATTCAACCAGTGTGTGCCTAGTGAGTAGTCATTATGTGGATAGGCTACTATTTAACACATTGACATACACTACATGACCAAAAGTATGTGGATACCTGCTCATCGAACATCTCATTCCAAAATCGTGGCCATTCATTCCTTAGAGTCTAAGACTTTGGGGGAGGGCGGGTGCTAAGCTGACATATGGAATTGTTTTAAGATGGTCATACTATGGATCATTTAGCTATTTGACTTGGAATTTTAGGACCCCGTTAGGTATAAAACATTATTTGATAAAATATAGATTTTGGCTTTTACTACTAAAGCCCACAGAAACGCATTGAATAACACATTCATAAATGGCAAAAGGACCGTCAAAAAATGTATCATAACAAACAAGGTTTTGCAGTGTGGCGGCAGGTAGCTTAGTGGTTAAGAGCGTTGTGCCAGTAACCGAAAGGTTGCTGGTTCTAATCCCCGAGCCGACTAGGTGAAAAATCTGTCGATGTGCCCTTGAGCAAGGCACTTAACCCTAATTGCTCCTGTAGGTCGCTCTGGATAAGAGCATCTGCTAAATGACAAATGAAATAAAAAGTGTCTGTCCTAAATCTAGGAGAAATAAAAAAACTCAGGAAATAATTTGTTTTATTTTTACACATATTTAACCTTTTTTTTTTCGGTAGGCACAAAACTACGTTCATACTTCCATTCGTTTTTTAAAACCGGTACCGGTTTACCTTCAGACGAGTTCCGTTACACTCGTAGAGCAAAACGGAGAACACCATCGTGTTCGTGAGAATCTCCACTTTCCACAGTGGGTTTCATTAGTTTGTAGCCCAAACGGTTCGGACACTACCAAACAGAAGTTGGCACATTAACGGTACCGACTACAGACGAGTCTCCTGACACTTGTGGGGTTCGTAGAGCAAAGAACACCATAAACCATTCGGACGCTACAAACATTTACGTGAGAAGACCAATTTTTGGGATGTCTCATGGTTTGACAAACACCGCTCAAGCTCTGCCAACTTTCACCGCAGATGCGGAAGTGCGACACTGACGAATGCGGTGGATTGAGATGCATTCAATAAAATAAAAAAAGATACACTACATGGCCAAAAGTTCTCCTGGCATCCGCCAAACCCATATTCATCTGTGGGACTGCCAGATGGTGAAGGGTGATTCATCACTCCAGAGAACGCGTTTCCACTGCTCCAGAGTCCAATGGCGGCGAGCTTTACACCACTCCAGCCGACGCTTGGCATTGCGCATGGTGATCTCAGGCTTGTGTGCGGCTTCTCGACCATGGAAACCCAATTCATGAAGCTCCCGACGAACAGTTATTGTGCTGACTTTGCTTCTAGAGGCAGTTTGGAACTCGGTAGTGAGTGTTGCAACCGAGGACAGACGATTTTTACATGTTACGCGATTCAGCAGTCGGCGGTCCCATTCTGTGAGCTTGTGTGGCCTACCACTTCGCGGCTGAGCAGTTGTTGCTCCTAGATGTTTCCACTTCACAATAACAGCACTTACAGTTGACCGCGGCAGCTCTAGCAGGGCAGAAATTTGACGAACTGACTTGTTGGAAAGGTGGCATCCTATGACGGTGCCACGTTGAAAGTCACTGAGCTCTTCAGTAAGGCCATTCCACTACCAATGTTTGTCTATGGAGATTGCATGGCTGTGTGCTCCATTTTATACACCTGTCAGCAACAGGTGTGGCTGAAATAGACGAATCCGCTAATTTGAAGGTGTGTCCACATACTTTTGGCCATATAGTGTATGTCAAAGCTAAAGGAAAGGTGCTAGATAACATCCATTACATATACAGTGAGGGAAAAAAGTATTTGATCCCTTGCTGATTTTGTACGTTTGCCCACTGACAAAGAAATGATCAGTCTATCATTTTAATGGTAGGTTTATTTGAACAGTGAGAGACAGAATAACAAAAAAAAATCCAGAATAACGCATGTCAAAAATGTTATAAATTGATTTTCATTTTAATGAGGGAAATAAGTATTTGACCCCCTCTCAATCAGAAAGATGTCTTGCTCCCAGGTGTCTTTTATACAGGTAACGAGCTGAGATTAGGAGCACACTCTTAAAGGGAGTGCTCCAAATCTCAGCTTGTTACCTGTATAAAAGACACCTGTCCACAGAAGCAATCAATCAATCAGATTCCAAACTCTCCACCATGGCCAAGACCAAAGAGCTCTCCAAGGATGTCAGGGACAAGATTGTAGACCTACACAAGGCTGGAATGGGCTACAAGACCACCGCCAAGCAGCTTGGTGAGAAGGTGACAACAGTTGGTGCGATTATTCGCAAATGGAAGAAATACAAAATAACTGTCAATCTCCCTAAGCCTGGGGCTCCATGCAAGATCTCACCTCGTGGAGTTGCAATGATCATGAGAACGGTGAGGAATCAGCCCAGAACTACATGGGAGGATCTTGTCAATGATCCCAAGGCAGCTGGGACCATAGTCACCAAGAAAACAATTGGTAACACACTACGCCGTGAAGGACTGAAATCCTGCAGCGCCCGCAAGGTCCCCCTGCTCAAGAAAGCACATATACAGGGCCGTCTGAAGTTTGCCAATGAACATCTGAATGATTCAGACGAGAACTGGGCGAAAGTGTTGTGGTCAGACTAGACCAAAATCGAGCTCTTTGGCATCAACTCAACTCGCTGTGTTTGGAGGAGGAGGAATGCTGCCTATGACCCCAAGAACACCATCCCCACCGTCAAACATGGAGGTGGAAACATTATGCTTTGGGGGTGTTTTTCTGCTAAGGGGACAGGAGAGCTTCACCGCATCAAAGGGACGATGGACGGGGCCATGTACCGTCAAATCTTGGGTGAGAACCTCCTTCCCTCAGCCAAGGCATTGAAAATGAGTTGTGGATGAGTATTCCAGCATGACAATGACCCAAAACACACAGCCAAGGCAACAAAGGAGTGGCTCAAGAAGAAGCACATTAAGGTCCTGGAGTGGCCTAGCCAGTCTCCAGACCTTAATCCCATAGAAAATCTGTGGAGGGAGCTGAAGGTTCGAGTTGCCAAACGTCAGCCTCGAAACCTTAATGACTTGGAGAAGATCTGCAAAGAGGAGTGGGACAAAATCCCTCCTGAGATGTGTGCAAACCTGGTGGCCAACTACAAGAAACGTCTGACCTCTGTGATTGCCAACAAGGGTTTTGCCACCAAGTACTAAGTCATGTTTTGCAGAGGGGTCAAATACTTATTTCCCTAATTTTAAAATGCAAATCAATTGATAACATTTTTGACATGCGTTTTTCTGGATTTTATTTTATTTATTCTGTCTCTCACTGTTCAAATAAACCTACCATTAAAATTATAGACTGATCATGTCTTTGTCAGTGGGCAAACGTACAAAATCAGCAGGGGATCAAATACTTTTTTCCCTCACTGTATATAGTGTAGCTAAAGCCTGTCTCATTAATCTCATCAGGGCCTGCTTGGGGCATGGTCTCTACTCCAAGAGTGTGAACATTAGACCATGGCCTGAAGTTGGCTCAAGGTCCCGTTCCTGTTCCCAGCCACGGTGCCCTTTGTGTGGAAGAGGAGAGAGGGATGACAGCCCCTATCTGAGTGATCATTGATCATTCTCTGGACACACCTTACACAGTCTCTGACAAACTTTAGTCTGTTATTCTCTCACCCATATGTAATCATGTAATAATGATGGCCAGAGGCTGCTTTCTCTGTCCACATGTTTATCATACCCTGGGCTGATGTAAAGGGGCAAAGAATGTTAGGTAGTTTGTTATCAGTTAGGACATTCCTTTCAGGCTTACAGTGTAGCATCAGAACATATCAGCACAAAGAGACTCATTACATGGCCCAGCAATTGCACTTGTGTTTGACTATATGGTTCACTTTACTTACGGTGGTTCGCATATTTCTTATGAGAAAATACAGGGGTCTGTTCTTTTTCAAGAATGACTGATGAAAATGTTGGCAAGCCATCTGAAGTGGGAGGTAGCAATCATCACATTATCAAACCTTCCGGATCTACAAGAATTGCATAGGGTTCAGGGCTATGGGGTCGTTTTTGGAACAGGGCGATCACTGTCTATCACTCACCTCTCAGATGGGTAATTAGACCAAAAGACATTCGCAACCCATCATGCTATTATAACAGGACAAGAGTCATCTTATCATAAGATCTATGATTATGTTTGGCCTGCTTGGACTGTTGTCCATCATTATTACACTTCAAGGTCATCTGTGAGGTACAGCCTCTGCAGCTCCATGGCTGAGGCTTTGGGGAACGAAGAGGTGCTTCAATCTCTTTGTGATAACATGCAAATGGGTGATAAGACGAGGTGATCTGCCAGAGACAGTTCTGCCTCCACAGTTGATATAGGGGACAGTTCACTGGTGATGGTAGGTGCAGTATTTCATAGTAGTAGTCCCTATA